AACATGACCTCTCTGATGGCAAGAGTCCCGTAGATGCGGTCGCACGTTGATTGGAATGCGCCGACGTGACTCTTCGGCAGGAAACAACTTTACATAAAGAACAACACTACAAAAATTTGATAATGATAGCTCAATATTTCACTGATTTGAAAATTCTTCCATTATAAATTGATTTTGTCCTATCCTTTTTATTTAGTAATCGATAAATTTAGATTGGCGATTTACATAGTAGACTTTCGTTCAGACCTATTTCAGATTATACAGAGTATGTTTGTTTCGTCTGTTAGGCAATCCAACGTTTTAACTCACCAACTGAACCGTACAAACATGTTGAGATATTCGACACTTCGGTACGTTAATGTTTAAATTAGACACGAGTCTCGCGTACTTCATCAACCTCCACAATATACGCATTCTGCTGAAAATAATCAGTATTATTACATAGTTTTTGAAGCCTAAAAATATTATATATATATATATATATACCTGTCGAACGCATTAGTTTATGTGTATATATTTAAAAAATTTTAAATTGTCAATCAATAACAAGTCGCTTTACCAATTTGTTAGATATAATATATGTTCATGTATAGCAAATATATGATTAATCGCCAATGGTTACGAATGAGACAAATGAATACAGCACACGTGTGTGTATATTCGGTCTAAAATGACTAAAATGTCCGGAGCTTCGATTGTGAAGATGCGCGAAAAATAGGTTGGGCCGTCGATATTGAATGGTTAGTTGGGATATGAGAAGTGTCTTTATGAACGTTCATAAGCGTAATGCAAAACACACTTTGTAACTCCACTCAAATGCAAAACCTAATACAATATTCGTTATAAGTAATTGTAACGACATCAATAGTTTGGTATGTGTGATGACTTGCGTAACCAAAGCATTAAACTGCATTAAAGTTGGGTTGTGTATTCAGAAACGCAGGTGCTTTTCTGAACTCCGCAAATAGCAATAAATCACTCAGTAAATAAAACTGCCGCCATTTTAAAACACACTCGGGTTTTGTTGATTTCGTAGTAAAAGGCATTGCGTTCATCTCTGACAGAATAAATTGGATGCCCCAAAGACGACTTCATGTAAATTTACCGCTAGAGATGAATTTCTCAATCCCGACAATAGAATTATGAGTGATTCAGAACGTTTTATGAAAGGATTGCAAGTTGACGGGGCTTTGCAGCGCCTCACCACTTTCATAAAATTGATCACATTATGCTCCTGTTCTTCATATAAATATTTGTTCGAATTTTGAGCTTTTTTAAATTTTTTTTGTTGTCTGTCGTGGAATGATGACAAAATTAGCCTCATTTTGCTAAATGACGAAGTCAGTTTTAAGTTTTTACATGTAAACATGAATACGACGAGTGTTTTGGGTCATCGAACGGCTGGTCTATTGAAATAGAGTATAGTTTACGCTTAGATAGGTTGTAATATTGGGTGAAAGACAATCTTTGTGTTACAGAAAGTGCCCGCCGAAACCACCATTTCGGCAACGATGAATTTCCTGATGCAAGGTTGCCGTTACTAGCTAATGTTTCTTGTCGAATCTTTTTCTTCGGCATCCGGTTATAAAAATACAAAATAACATTATCTTCTCTATCGTCTTACTCTATCGTCTCTTTCAACTATAGCGGCCATTTTGGAAGAAATGAAAAGGTATAAACACTAACTTACCTCGCAGTTTCGATAACTAACTATAGCGACGATCACAGACCCAAATCCACAAAATTAAAAATTCTTCAAACCAAATTTAATGACGTTTTGTATGATAAGTTGACATCATGCGATAATTGTCTATTCTAATTACCGAGTTTTAAGATGAAGAGATTTTAGACTTTTTTTAGACCGATTTCGCCTCTGCGTTAGCATCGTCTGAAAATTTTGACAGCGCCAAACCAAAAATTGACTACCCTATACACCTTGCTTTACGATTTATATATTTCAAAAAAACGCACTAGTTAAATAAGTTCCACCGTGAGGTGATATCCAGCTACACGTCAACATTAGCTTGAAAGCTTCAGAATGGAAATTCCTCACAAGTACATTCACGATCTTACAAAACCACAACGGCCGGCCTCGTCGAATTGAATCAGGTAGACTGAAAAGGCCTTCCATTGTATCACGGAATGAATGATAAAATAGATTGGGCTAAATTCGTTTCCTACAGCATTAGAAATCATGGTATACTAGACCATAGGTTCTCAAAGTGCTCCGTACGGAGCCCCAGGGCTCCGCGAGAGAAGCCTAGGGGCTCCGCGAGCTATTTGATTATTTTCCAAAAGACTGACTTGGCTAATTTTGTAACTGTCCAAGTAAGCAACAACAGCTTTAATAAAATTTGACAACAAATAGCCTCGAAATATGGCAAAGAGGCGGAATTAAAAAATGACATTATTTATAAGCAGGAGCGCAGCCAGGATTCTTAAGAGGGAGGGGGATCAAAATTGGAATCGGAAGTTTCCGCGCAACATTATTCGCGATTAAGTAAAAAAACTTTTTTAATGGATAACGAGATTTCTGTTACGTAAAATATTCAATCCATGACTGATTAGAGCATTTAAAATGTCTTGTCATAATAATTTAATTGTGCTCGTCGTTACTCACGTTTGATTCAAGATGACTATGAGAATTACTTACATAAAAGATTACTATTCTAAAATACCATAAAATACGTGATAAACTGACAACTATAAATAAATTGAAATGGTATTTTTGCGATCTTGGGATTAGTCAAACTTTTGTTTCTTTGCACTCGAGATTATTTTTAAGCAAGATATCGCCGTTACAAAAATTCCGAGGTCGATGGTAAAACTCAATAAGTACAATATACAATTGTGCAATCTATGACCATTGCGGGCATATTTGAAATGACTTGTTTATTGGGATAATTCTGTTAAACGTAACCCGCGGTTGTGTCACTCACAATAAAAAATCATTACTTCTCAAATAACCACGGCAATCCGCGGACATAAAATGAGAAACAATGAAACAAAGTTAAGTGAACGAAGTTCTTGTGGACTACTGTATATCCTGAACAACGCTGATATCATAAGATATTAGAAACGAAGTCATATTGCCCACAAAATAACATACATACCTACTACCGGTGCCAGAAGTTTGATAAGATATTTGTGTCCGTCCCGATCAAAATCATAATCGTAATCATGACTTATTGGTGGATTATAGCGATTTAGCGAATTCGACAACTTTGAGCCTTTCTTGCAACACTGACTCCACCCTATCGCAGGTCTGCCACTCAGATTCTTTGCAAGATATCATCGTCCAAAAAATAACAAGGTCTGGGCAAAATACGAACGATTGAAATTTATGTTATTGCATGCGGCTCCGTTGGTAGTTTCAGAATGAATAAAAGGTACATAGCGCGCACAATTGTGACTGTGTTTCTATTTCAGTTGCTAGGATGAATAACCAAAGAAAACCTAACATATCATCAAATATATATTGTCATTTGCAATGTCTAAAAAAGTGTCTGTCGTGTCGTGTCGTGAGTCTGCTGAAACAAAACTTATAGTGTTATCTTCCGTTTTAAGTTTTAGTTTTAATATTACATAATGCCGCTTTTCAATCAAGAAATTTGAGTTGCGGATTCACCGCCGATTCTTTATTAATTAATTTTAGCATCTCGTCGCCGATGACTATATTAAATTAACATGTTCTTCACATCGAATTCATAATTCCCCACGAGAACAAAAAAGCAATTATCGTTGTCATTGTGGAACAATACACATATATGCCGGGGGAAATTTTTGATTTAGGGAGAATAAACACCGACGTAAAGATGTTTAAGGTATAACGTTTCACGCCCTCGAAAACAGTCGCCAATGACCCAAAATACAATCGCGCAGCAACCTTTTAAGTCTTCCAAAAATATCAAAAGGAAAAAGATTCTACCTCTAGTTTGTTAATATGTTTGTCGAATGTCAAATTTACAGCCTTAATATATATGATTTATCATTGAAATTTAGATTTATTTATGACTTGTATTAACCCTATTAAAAAGGATTAGCATTTAAATCAAGTAAAGTACTTTTAACATACTCAATAATATTAATCGGAAAGTAACAATTTTAAAATTTGTTTTAGGGCTCCGTGAATAATGGTCAACCTCTTCACGGGCTCCGCAACACCAAAAGTTTGAGAACCCCTGTACTAGACTGTAGAGCAAATAGTTTTAGGGTGGTGAAATTGATTACTGCTATGTATTTAATTGGACGTTTACGTTGGAAATATCATTTAAGCTAGGTCTCGTGTTTTCAAATCCGAAATAATAGAATCGAGCCCGATTCACAGTAAATTACTATTATAGTAGTATTACAATGAACAAGAAATCAGCATGCTTGCTTCCAAATTTTACTTTGATAAAAACTCCATCTCCAAAATTTCTTTGGACATCGGATTGTTTGCACTGACATGTCAAAATAAATCGTGATTTTTTATATTGAAATGTAGCTAATGCACATTTAGATTCCAGTTTAAACCCAAACTAAATTTATTTTATTTTCAGGATGCGATGAGTAAAACGAAGAGCACACATAATTCTACATTTTCTCTCATTTCTGAATGAAATTAAAATAAACCGTATATCATACCAACCATCGAAATATTCTAAACGGTTAAACTCTATTTTTTATCGACGGAACATCGAAATTGCTGGCAATGCTTAATTTGAAGACGAGTAATGCAACAGATCCATTTGATTCTTGTGGATACGAGCGCATATCCACGTCCGCCATCACACGATTCTTCTCCCCAATTTACAATCCCGTACACCACCCAGCGGTTGTTTTCAAAGCACATCAGTGGTCCTCCAGAATAGCCCTATAGAATATCAAATAAAATTTCTCTTTTATTCATATTTTGATACATAATATCAAGGAAGGGCATGTATTTTATATATATATATATATTTCATACTCACAGAGCATGGATGTTTCGCACGATACAAGAAACTAGTTGTTTTGTTAATTTTTGTATCTGTATCGCAAATATTGTAGTTCACGTCATATTTTAATCTTCGGTATTTCCGTTGACAATTCGTTGGATCTTCTATTGTTACGTTGAACTGCCTAAGAGGCGCATTCGTCAACTGTGTGACGGATTCTGAATATTGAATGTAGATAATAATATTCCGAATGCACATAAGTGTCCATCGATCGTTTCCAAGCTGCATGGGTATATTAGCAACTGTGAGGTATATTAAATACGACATTAGAGACATGGTCGATGACAAATCTATATTGATAAGTCCTAATAACTACGGAGACTCTATTGATAAGTCCTGATAACTACGGAGACTCTATTAACAGCTATATACTAGATATACTTCACGAAAGAGGACAAGACATTCTGCCCTCCTGAATGCAATATTGGGAAGTGACGCTACAGCGTTTTCTATTGACAATTCAAAAAACCTCAAAGCAAAAAAATGACAGAGAACATAAAGCAATTTGGCGCTAACCCTCCGCATCAATTCCACTCGTTATGACGTCAGGAGTAGCAAATTACACTCGATTAATCTATAGTCTGTTACCGTAATTAAATCTGGTTGCAGTGGTTAAATTTCCAGACTTTATTCTCACCCTCCACCCTGCATATTGGCATCTTTCTCCTGTATTTGGGATAACATTGTAATTTGGCAAACAAGCCGACTGAACACAATAAGTTGTCGCAATATCCCCCTAACAAAGTAAGAGTGATCATTGCATACTTTCTTATTACTAATTCTTAAATATATATATATATATATATATATTCAATATACTTGGACTTACCCTCAGTTTTAACAAAGCGATGTCATGTTGGTTTGTAACGTCGTCGTAGTGAGGATAAAAATAAACTGATTGAATCTCTGATACGAAATTTCTTACGCCAGTAACGTTTTCTATATTATCGCGTCCATACACAACAACCCTACAAAGAGAGTTTCACTTTTCTGAATATAGTCATAATTAAAATATATATATATCACTTCTCACCATGCTATACTAACGCATGATATCGATATAGGACAGGGGTGTGCAACCTTTAATACAGAAGGGCCGGGTAGAAATAACTGAGTGAAACCGCGGGCCACATCTTTATTTAACTTAACATGGGCTTCCTAGTAATTGCAGGCACAAAAATTTTGGTTATTGACCTTATGACATGGGTTGTTCGCTTCGCACAAGATTAGGGCATTGTAAACTCATCGGCATAGATAATAAATAAGTGGACTCGTGTATAGGCTTCGTAACGCAAAGGGATTGGAATTACTCGCACGTACCAAATTAAACTAAATTAACAACTCTTTTCGCGGGCCGAACATCATTTAAAATTGGCACTTCTCAGCGGGTCACATATTTTTTCCTTCAGTGGTTGCATTTGGCACGCGGGCCGCAGGTTGCACACTCTTGATATAGGATGTATATAAAGTCTCCCCACCCGTGCATCAAGTGAAGTGCTTCATACCAAACTTGAAATTGTAACAATAACCTACTCAATTAAAATTAATAACTGTATATATATATATATATGTCAGTTGATGAATATTACTAATAATTGCTGTGAAAATGTATATTCCATATTTCATGTATTGTTTTCAAAAAATGAAATCTCACTTCAAATAACGGTATTTGCTAACACAATGATGAGCTGTCAAAACCCAGTTGGTCGCAATCAGTACTCCTCCGCAAACACCAATCACGCGCCTGATTGCAGTTTCGTTGTTCCTGATTTTTCTATTCCTCTGAGCAAGGTCCCGAGGGGCCATGGATGCATCACTATAGTTCGGGTTTAAAATAGCAATGCTTACTAGCCACGGAAATGTGTTTGAACATCCCTTGTTTCCTGAAAATAACAATTTTAACTATTGGCCGTCAGTAAGCCGAAACTTATATATTTGTATTCATGACACTTGACCCACCTTTTAGTTTTTGATCTTCGACATATTTTCCCCCACATTGATACGTGAGATAATCAGCGAGTCGTTTATCCGGTTTATCTCTAATTCTGCCGGAATCCATTTCTGGTAAATATCCGAATAGGAAATCGTGCACCCCTGCAAAATGATTACATTAAAATTCGTCGAATACGTTGGTGCCAAAACAAATTTTTTATCAACATTTCCTTCAAAATCATATTCCCCACGAAGCGGAAACTATGGAACAGCTACGGTAACTTACCAGTACCTGTCCTAGCTTTACCTAGTCCTGTGACGATGGTGATTCATGATTCCAGTTTAACGTAAATTGAAATGCTAAATTCGAGTCACAAATGTATTATCAAATATTTTGTTTACGCCACGACACAAAATTTTGAAGAGAAAATCGAATCTCATGGAGCACACATTTTCAAACTAAGAAAATTAGTAGCCTTTAAGCGACGAAAACAATCTCCAACCAGTTATTTCACGGCAAAGTGAAGAAGAAAATACCAAGAACATCATAATAACAAAATGATGTATAGAACCACTTCGTGACCAGTAACACGAGAACAATGCTCAAATATATAGCTACGAGATCAAAACAAAATATTTTATCCACAATTTCCTCAAAACCATTTTCTGTACGAAGCTGAAGCTATGGAACGACTGGGCAACCATACTTCTGTAGTTTAGTACCACGGTACTCCTGAAGTATGCGCACCAAGATGTCGCACCACCTGAAACCTAATCTGCTACACAACCTGAGTTCAGGTTGTGCGCAATCTTGGTGCGCATACTTCAGGAGGTCCAGTACCACAAGCAGGCTACTCCCAGTTTGCGTGACGTAACGTCATCCAAAATAACCTTACTGCTATGCCAAAATCGAGTCAATACGGGAAAGCATAGCTGACTTTAATTCAAGTCTGCACACTAACACAAATGTATTTCTGAAATTTTTCGACTGACTGAGGTCAGACTTCTTTAAACAAGAATTTTATTTAACTATGACAACGCGATAGCATGTACATAAAGGTTCCATTATCTTTGAACCCGCGTACATTTGAACCCGTACATCTGAACCCGTAATTTGAACCCAGAACAATTGCACCTGTATACTATTGCACCTATGGACATTTGCACCTACGGACATTTGAACCCATACATTTCCACCCATGGATTTTAGCACCCGCATATAGATTGAACCCGCGGACATTTGAACCCGTGTACGTTTGCACCCGCGTACATTTGAACCCATGTACATTTGCACCCGCGGACATTTGAACCCGTGTACGTTTGCACCCGCGTACATTTGAACCCATGTACATTTGCACCTGCGGACATTTGAACCCATGTACATTTGCACCCTGGACATTTGCACCCATGTACATTTGAACCCACGAACATTTGCACCCGCGGACATTTGAACCCACGTATATTTGAACCCGGGTACATTTGAACCACGGACATTTGAACCCGCGTATATTTGAACCAACGTATATTATATTTGAACTCGCATACATTTCAACCCGCGTACATTTGAACCCACGCACATTTTCACAAAAAATGTTTGCCCCAACGGCAATTTCCAGTCGCAAATAATTTTCATGCTACAGGCTCAAGCTCAATATTCTAAATTTCAACACTGTTTCATTTGTAGTTAGTTTTGGTGTATATGCATTTACCCGCTTCTACGAAGCAAGCATTTTTGAGTGTCATTGTAGTCCGAGAGATAAACGTCTCTTAACGATATAAAAAACATTGTTCTGCCAAGGTCTTTATTCTTTTGCTGTTTCTTTTTACATTGACATTTGTAAATCATTATCTCATTCGTTAGCCGCGATCTCCAAAACAGACGATGACCTAGAAAGCGGTATTTCGTTGAAATACCTGAAACCAGGGCTAATACGGAACAAATATCTCACAGACCAATGAAGTCTTAAATGAGGGTCTTACTAAAACTAGCTTTACAGTAATATTTTTAGTGGTCAAGTCCTATAAATTTGTTCTAAAATTATTTCACCGAAAACGCCTACTATGATATCCCGCCCAGCATGAGATTTGGGAGCTCTGTGGCCACTTCATGTTTTCTTGCTAGCAAAATTAGCTAGCATGCTTACAAACTTGTTATATGTATGCATACACGACCACGCTTTACTGTTGAAAATGAGTGTTGTCTCAAATCAGGTTTTGCCATTTTTCCTAAAATCAATCTATAAATTGAATACTATTGTCTGTATATAAATAAATAAACGCACAGATTCTTCGTTTCTAGGAAAATATGAAATTAAGATAATGAAACTATGCCATTTTTGTAACAACATGTTCATAGCCAAATGCCAGTTTTATTGAAGTATTGTTTCATTAGAATGTCAGAACAAAACTATACATAGAAATCGTGAGTCATGTAAATATGTTAAATATTCGAAAGTGAAGAAGTTTTAAAATCATTATCGTGGCCAAAAATGGTTTTTGCTGTTTACACTATTTAGAGTAAATCGAACATATTCAGCATATAGGGTCTGTTAAATATGATATTGCAATTTACAAACGACGTCATAGGTTACGGATTACATTTATTTTAATATATCAATAAAGTTATCACTCACAAATTTGTGTCGAATGGGCGATCAATTTTTAGCTATGGACGTTTTACAAATAGGAATTTATCAATTATGATACAATAGTTAAACAACAAATCAAAATAATGACGATAAACGAAATTTTACTATATCACGATCAAAGTCAAAATCAAATAGACTGCATTTGAGCTATTGAGTGGAGATACCTCAGCTTGTCGGTTTCAGTTCCATATGAAAAAACTTTAATTGACAACCTAACAGCAAGTTGTACATACTTTGATCTTTGATGGGCCGTAACTCCTACATGAGCATTTGCCACAGTCAGTTTGTGGACCGCAATGTCTTTTTGTAGGCCATTCAGCAAACCCCATATACTCGGATGAAATCCTTCTACAGCGTTTGTTGTTCTTGGGGCCGAAGGCATCATTTCAATCTCTTTGGCATAGTTCCACAACCGAGGGGGAAATCTTGCTTCTCTTGGACGTGAACCCACTTGAGGTCCACGAATGTAGGTAGATTCAAAATATTGAAAAAGTTGATTGCATTCGGGCAAATCTTCGAAGGTGTCGCAAAGCAAGGTGAAGACTTCGGCAACCTCGTTAATGGGAACAAAAGCCAGAGCTGCCAAACTTCTAATTTTCAGATTGAAAGAGGGTAAACAATCAAACTTCTCTTTTAATCCGATAGAACCAACTTTTCGAATTAGAGCTTGTGACAGGTGAAAATAACATCCTTTAATATCGGCCAGAGGAAATTGTGCATGGAATGCATTGATAGCTGCTATTTCAAAATCAACAATGATTTTGGTGGGGTTAGCATTTGGGAAAATGATTTTCAACACTTCCAACATCTGAACGTATGTTTCTTGTCGCTTGTCTCGTAATAGGAAATATACGCATGGTGGATAGGATGCTCCCACTTTACAGTGAATTGTATACAACTGGAAGAAAATATCAGGCACCACATCAAATGTACCGTCGCCAAGATATGTGTCACTATCTAGATGTGCAAGTAGTAATCGATCTCCGATGGCCATTATCCGATGACGATCCTCCGGGCCAGTGTCATGCAAAATGATATCTAAATATTCGCTCGGAATATCAAAGCTAGCACTTGTGGGATTGTTACGTGAACACTTTTTCTGTCGCCTTACTCTGCGTATATTGGCCTCCAGAGTCGACTTGCCTGGCAAGCGCATTAGCACATCTGTTGATCTATTATTCAATACTCCACCTAAAATATATCTTGTCGATGTATTTGATGGTGTTGATGCTGCTTCTTTTAATGTTGCACGGATGATCCCAACTTCAGTCTTAATGCTGTCGCCAGAATGACTGTGATATCCTAGTTCTTTTATTACATTTTCACCGATCGTAACAACAGTCGATTTACATCGAAATTTCCTAAACTGACGGCAGCGCCAATGAGTAGCATCTGAAACCCGATCATTTCGCTTACAATATTCGTGGCCTTTGTAAATCAGTAAGTCGTTTCCTCTTGTGGTCTTGGAAAATGTAGGCGCCAAGTTTCCAACCTATTTTTGCAAAGGGACTTGTCATCTTCGCAGCTGCAACGTCCTGAAGAAACAGTTTGGAATTGTCTGCGAGGGAAAAAGGTCATTGATGCGAGGAAAAACTTTGCGCGGGATCGAACTATCTGCGAGGGAAAAAGGGCATTGATGCGAGGAAAAACTTTGCGCGGGATCGAACTAACATATCAATTAAAATTCTTGATCGCGCTCTTCAAGAGTCGTCGACCGTTCAAAGCACAAATCATACTCCCCAATTTTGGCTCGCATTCTACAGCGGAACATTTTGTCCATTGAGTCTTATGATATCGACAATTGCGATGACAATGACAGACGGAGTATAATATAAATATATAATATAATTTAAATATATAGAAAATAGTTGTAATAAAGCCTTCGAGTATATAATCGAGAATTCCATGGTGTTTTCGAAACGTATGCATTTGGAGAAAGAATCCTAGGTGTACCTTCCAATCCTATATACTATAGTATATAGCATGGAAGGATAAGGGTGTATATGTAAAGACGCTAATATCCGTAAATGCAAATGCCCATGGGTGTAGATGTTCATGGGTGCAAATATCTGTGGGTACAATTGTACGCGGGTGTAAAAGTACGCGGGTGTAAATGTATGTAGGTTCAAATGTCCGCGGGTGCAAATGTTCGTGGGTTCAAATGTACATGGGTTCAAATGTCCGCGGGTGCAAATGTACATGGGTTCAAATGTACGCGGGTACAAACGTACACGGGTTCAAATGTCCGCGGGTGCAAATGTACATGGGTTCAAATATACGCGGGTGCAAACGTACACGGGTTCAAATGTTCGCGGGTTCAATCTATATGCGGGTGCTAAAATCCATGGGTGGAAATGTATGGGTTCAAATGTCCGTAGGTGCAAATGTCCATAGGTGCAATAGTATACAGGTGCAATTGTCCTGGGTTCAAATTACGGGTTCAGATTTAAGTGTTCAAATGTACGTAGGTTCAAATGTGCTGTCACCTTACATAAATAATGGATATCAATTGTT